AGTGAGTGAGTGTGAGTGAGTGAGTGAGTGAGTGTGAGTGAGTGAGTGAGTGAGTGAATCAGTGAGTGAGTGAATGAATATGAGTACCTGTGATGGCTCTGCGAATCTCTGTAGCGGCTGCTTCTCTCATCTCGAGAGACGCCTGCTCACTGTACCAGGCTGTGTGCGGCGTACAGATCAGGTTAGGAGCGTCTTTCAGAGGACCCTGCGCAAAACTACACCACACACACACACACACACACACACACACACACACACACACACACACACACACACAACTGAGCACTGATATCATACTGTAAAAATCATCAAAGAAATCAGTGCATCAGTAATATTACAGGAACATTCTGAGGACTGCATTGGTCTTTCTGTCCATTACCACTAAAAATATTCTCTCATGTCATCAGTTTTACAGTGAAATAATTAAGATGTTTTTGAAAAAAGTCTCTTCTGCTCATCAAGGCCGCATTTAGTTGATCAAAAATACAGTACAAATTGTGAAATATTATTAGAATTTAAATAGCTGTTTTCTATGTGAATCTATGTTCAAATGTAATTTATTGCTGTGATCAAACCTGAATTTTCAGCTTGAAATATACGTATATATATATTTTTTTATTTCAAATAAAATAAAATAAGATATTCGATTAAAAACATGAAATGAAAATGAGAAATGTTGCTACCGGGGCAACTAACTGAAACAAAATGTTTCTGTTTAAGTACTAAAATTACTATAATAAAAAATAAAATGAAAATAAATTAAAACTAAATATTTAAAATATTTTTTAATCTAGTAAAAATGACAAAAGCCAAAAAAATGTAATCAATTCATATAAATATTTCATAAAAATATAAAACTTGAAAATTAGAAATGATACCTTGGAAACTGAACTGAAGTGCTAAAATTACTAAACCTAAAACTGAAATAAAATTTTAAATAAAATTTGACATCTAACTAAATTAAATAAGTTTACATTCATATACTAAGATAACTAAAACTAAAAATGAAATAAAAATAAAGGTAAATATAAAAAAAGACAAAAGCCCACAAAGTTACGAAAACTTTGAATAAATTAAAATGAAAACCAAAAATATACAAAAAAAAAGCTAATTCAAAATATTAATAAAAACTATAAAGGCATATAAATAATACTAAAATAGCACTAACATGGGGACAGAAAGAGTCGTGACATAACTATATGTAAATAATTCTTTACATGAAAAATCTCCACCCACTTTTAATGACATAATTTACATATAATCAAAATTCATCTACTTTGAATAGCCTTCCCAACTCAAAGGACAATTTAGACATTTCAAATAAGACCTTATTAGAAGAATTAGTAAAAAAAAAATCTAATTACATTTCAAATTTCTGCTTTTAATTCCTCTGGAAGTTTTGATGTTGAACAGACTGAACGTGTGGAGCAGCATGTTCACCTGAAGGGTTCGGTCTCGTGGACGTCGAGAGCAGCTCCTCGTATCCGGCCCTCCCTCAGCGCCTGAGCCAGAGCCTTCTCATCCACCAGACCTCCTCGAGCCGTGTTCACCAGGAACGCCCCCTGACGCATCTGACACACACACACACACACACACACACACAGATACTCACACACACACACACAGATACACAGACACTCACAGACACACACACACACACACACACACACAGACGCACACAGACAGACACGCACACAGATACTCACACACACACACAGATACACAGACACTCACAGACACACACACACACACACACACACACAGACGCACACAGACAGACACGCACACAGATACTCACACACACACACAGATACACAGACACTCACAGACACACACACACACACACACACACACAGACGCACACAGACAGACACGCACACAGATACTCACACACACACACAGATACACAGACACTCACAGACACACACACACACACACACACACACAGACGCACACAGACAGACACGCACACAGATACTCACACACACACACAGATACACAGACACTCACAGACACACACACACACACACACACACACAGACGCACACAGACAGACACGCACACAGATACTCACACACACACACAGATACACAGACACTCACAGACACACACACACACACACACACACACAGACGCACACAGACAGACACGCACACAGATACTCACACACACACACAGATACACAGACACTCACAGACACACACACACACACACACACACACAGACGCACACAGACAGACACGCACACAGATACTCACACACACACACAGATACACAGACACTCACAGACACACACACACACACACACACACACAGACGCACACAGACAGACACGCACACAGATACTCACACACACACACAGATACACAGACACTCACAGACACACACACACACACACACACACACAGACGCACACAGACAGACACGCACACAGATACTCACACACACACACAGATACACAGACACTCACAGACACACACACACACACACACACACACAGACGCACACAGACAGACACGCACACAGATACTCACACACACACACAGATACACAGACACTCACAGACACACACACACACACACACACACACAGACGCACACAGACAGACACGCACACAGATACTCACACACACACACAGATACACAGACACTCACAGACACACACACACACACACACACACACAGACGCACACAGACAGACACGCACACAGATACTCACACACACACACAGATACACAGACACTCACAGACACACACACACACACACACACACACAGACGCACACAGACAGACACGCACACAGATACTCACACACACACACAGATACACAGACACTCACAGACACACACACACACACACACACACACACAGACACACACACACACACACACACACACACAAGCGCACACACACACGCACACACACACACACACAAACACGAGGCAGCATCACTGCGACGGCCAGATTCACTCTTTACAATCAGTTCATTCTGGTTTGTCAGCAAGATTCTGCTGGAAGATTATGTACACTGGAGGTCAAAAGTTTGGAATAATTTAAGGCTTAGTTCACCCAAAAATGAAAATTATGTCATTAATTACTTACCCTCATGTTGTTCCAAACCCGTAAGACCTTTGTTTATCTTCAGAACACAAATGAAGATATTTTTGATGGAATCTGAGAGCTCTCTGACCCTCCATAGACAGCAATGATATTACGATATTACGACATGAGGGTGAGTAATTAATGACAGAAATTTCATTTTTTTGGGTGAACTATTCCTTTAAGATTTGTAATGTTTTAAAGTCTCTTCTGCTCACCAAGGCTGAAGAGCAGCAAATCAGCATATTAGAATGATTTCTGAAGGATCATGTGACTGAAGACTGCAGTAATGATGCTGAAAATTCAGCTTTGATCACAGGAATAAATTACAGTTTAACACATATTCACATAGAAAACAGCTATTTTACATTGTAATAATATTTCACAATATTACTGTATTTTTGATCAAATAAATGCAGCGTGTGCAGCTGTGTGTGGTGATAAAGACCTGTTTGATGGTGAAGTCGTTGATGAGGTGATGGTTGTGTTCGTTCAGGTTGCAGTGCAGCGAGACGCAGTCGCTCTGATAAAGCAGGTCCTGCAGTGTGTAAACACGCTGAACGCCCAGCGAGCGCTCCAGACCGTCCTGCAGGTACGGGTCGTAGAAGATCACATTAAAGCCAAACACTTTGGCCCTGATGGCAACGGCCTGCCCCGAACGACCTGCCACACACACACACACACATGTTGGTTTTTATGGTTTATGGGGACTCTCCATAGGCATAATGGTTTTTATACTGTACAAACTGTATTTTCTATTGCCCTACACCAACCCTACCCCTAAACCTACCCCTCACAGGAGACTTTCTGCATTTTTAGATTTTCAAAAAAACTAATTCTGAATTATTTATAAGCGTTTTGAATTACGGGGACACTCAAAATGTCCTCATAAATCACCTTCTTATTGTAATACCTATGTCATACCCATGTTATTATACACATTTGTGTCCTCATAAACCACATAAACATGCACACGCACACACACACACACACTCACACACACTCTCACACACACACTCACTTAGTTATCATTATACTATTAATTTAAATATTTTTTTGAATTTATATAATTATATTAATTAATTACTAATTACATTTTGTATGAACGTTATTGATAAATATATAGAGACCTCAGAATCCATACTGGATTATACATATAATTATTTTATAATTATAGAATTTAAATATTCATCACTATACTAATAATTAAAATAATATATGTATTTTTCTATTTATATTAATGTTTCCACCAACAAATTGTGATCCATAAATAACTTTCATACTAACATTTATTCATAAATTCCAAATGAAATAAATACATAAATAAATGAGTAAGTTATGAGTAGTGAAGAGGACTCCTAACTAAGCCACAAACTTTCCTAAAATAGCTGTTGCCAGAAATCTGCCTCGGAACGTAAACATTTTAGAAACATTTGACGATAATGAGCTTTTAAAAAGGTATCGCCTTAGGTTTTGGAGATTATCCCAGCTCTGAATTTTCCTTTGATTATGTCCTTGTTTTCATTAAGCAGCTGGGCAAGAAGTAACAGCTGTTCTTGCGTCCAGTTTGGTTTTCTTTTACAATCGCATGTCCTTCTATCAGCCATGATTATTCCACTCTGTTAATTAAAAGGCTGTTTATATGCATATCCGCTAATTGTTTACTAAAAGCACACATGTAAGACGAGGCTGACAATATATACTTGTTTAATTAGTGACACTTAGCCTGCATTTTTAAATCTTTATTTGAATGTGGCAACATTTTTATTTTTAAACCTTTATTTGAATATGGCAACATAATATCGCACTCTACAATATTCAGAGACTATCAGCCAATCACTGTGTGCATAGTTAATAAGCATGCATAGCAATGAGCTCAGCCCCGCCCCCTTACTCTGAGCTTAAAAGGGTCATATGATGCTTTTTTAAAGATCATTATTTGGTGTATTTGGTGTAACAGAATATGTTGACATGCTTTAATGTTCAAAAAACACATTATTTTTCAAATACTGTAGATTATTGTAGGTCCTCTATGCCCCGCCTCTCTCAAACGCTTCGTTTTCTACAAAGTCCCTCCTTCCGACAAGCGCAGTCTGCTCTGATTGGCCAGCTGACCCAGTGCATTGTGATTGGCCGAACACAACACTCCAAAGAGAAAGAACAACTTGAAATCGCATCATATGACCCCTTTAAGACTTCTCTCTATTCCTTAGTTTCTTACAAGTTTGTCTCAGCAGCTTTGTGAATAGGTTTTAAGAGGAAACTCTTAGCTAAAAACTTTTACTGCTATTTAGGAGAACTCTTAGTGGTAAGATAGAATCTATCCCTCTATCCGGATATTTGTAGCAATAGCCAACAATACATTGTATGGGTCACAATTATACATTTCTCTTTTATGCCAAAAATCATTAGGATATTAAGTAAAGATCATGTTCCATGAAGAGATTTTGTAAATTCCGTACCTAAAACTTAATTTTTGATTAGTAATATGCATTGCTAAGAACTTCATTTGAACAACTTTAAAGATGATTTTCTCAATATTTAGATTTTTTTGCTCCCTCAGATTCCAGATTTTCAAATATTGTCCGATCCTAACAAACCATACATCAATGGAAAGATTATTTATTCCGCTTTCAGCTGATGCATACATCTCAATTTAGACTGGTTTTGTGCTCCAGGGTCACAAATGTTTTGTGAATACGGGCCCTGAACTGTCTCAGTTTATCAGTAGGGAAGATCTCAACCCTTGTTACCATGATTCAGTAAATACTGGTTTTGACTGAAAGCACAGTGATCAGTCTGAGCCTGTCGTCTCTCACCGAAGCCGATGAGTCCGAGCGTTTCTCCGCGGATGCGTGCGGCTCCGGATGCCACTTCACGGATCTGCTCCACGCTCTGAACACGCGTGCCCTCCCGCAGCGCCTGATACAGCCACGTGTTCCTGCGGTACAGATTCAACACGTGACACAGCGTCGAGTCGGCCGTCTCCTCCACCGCCGCCGACGGGATGTTACACACCGCGATCCCTGAACACAAACACACACAACCGCTCAGAAACACTGACAAAACATCATACAATAAAGCAATAAGCTCCAAGAAGCCGTGGTTTACAGTGAAATTATAACAGCTAAGGGGCGTTGTTAGGTACTCCATGTAAGCTGTTATAAATTCACTGTAAACCACGGCTTCACGGGGGTTACTGCTTTTATAAAACGGTTATTCCATATACGTAGTAAGGTTTCACAAAATAAAACAGAGCAAATAAAGTGTAGTGATATTAATAAACACAGTATTCTTCCACCAAACAATGTAGCTCCTCAGAAACAGTTGTGGTTGCTACAAAGTGGTTGCCGAGCAACACACAAACGTAAACAAAGGTGTGTGTTACTTTGTAGCGTCACTTTTGATCACGTTAATGCATCCTTGATGAATAAAAGTAAAGCTGAAATAAAATGTATAAAATAAAAGAAAATATTAAAAACTTGCCTTAACAACTAACTGAAATAATAAAATAAAATATTAGATTAGATTAATACTGAAGTACTAAAGCTAAAACAGAAAGTGTAAATATTAGATGAAAATCTTAAAATTTAAAAATGCAAAAGAAAATTTGACATCTAAAATAAGCAAGTTTATATTGAAGTACTAAGATTACCAAAACTAAAACTTTAAATAAATTAAAATCAAAACTAATAATATACAAAAAAAAGCTAATTCAAAATATTACTAAAAACTATAACGGAGTATAAATAATACAAAAATAGCACTAGCATCTGTACAATTACACTAAATGAGCTTTTTAACTGGATTAAAAAACTCTAAACTATCAATCAGACGACCGAAGGCACGGAAGAAATCAAAGTTTGATCATATAGAGACCTTAGACCTTTGTATCAAATATGATACAGTATGCATAACTGTTAATTTGATTGGATTGTGCACTAGTTAGTGTTGATGTTCATTACCCAGCTCTCCGGCTGCTTTAATGTCGATGTTGTCGTATCCGCTGCCGATGCGGATGATGATCCTGAGCGCTTTGAACTTCTCCAGATCTTCTCGAGTCAGTGTGATGCTGTGATACATCAGAGCGCCGATCGCCTCGTTTAACACCTGAGACACACACACACACACACACACAGCTCAGAGCTCATCTGCTCACGCACGCTATCCCATGATGCTTCACATGACTCTCACATCCATCGCTCGGCTGTAAATAACGCTCTGATTGGGTGGATGGATGTAGTCAATTATTTTTTATATTCTGTCCTACCGATGATTCTATTCCTACTGTGAAATAATCATTGCAGTCATTAAAAAGTATCCCTAAACACTCACTTGAATTTTTTTCTAGATCATCATCATGTTTTTTCTTTTATCATTTTCTGTAACTGAAACCAAAACTTGAAATAAAACACTAAAAATTAATTCTGAAATACACTAAAAGAAAAAAGTGAAATGCTGCCTTGGCAACTAACTGAAAACAAGTTTTTAAAAAATATTTTAAGGCTACTAAAGGTAACTAAAATAACTAAAACTGAGACTAAAACATACAAAAACAATATTACTAACACTAAAAATGAAAATAAAAACTATATAGACATTTTTTTTTAAAACTAATAAAAATGATAAATACACATAACAAAATTACTAAAAAGGAAATAAAAAATAAAAGCTATAGACATATTTAAGAAAAACTAATAAAATGACAAATACACACAACTAAATTACTAAAACTGAAAAAAATAAAAATAAAAACTAAATAGACATTAAAAAATATTTTAAAAAATAAAACTGAAAACACAATTGAAACTATTTATCAAATACTATACTACAATTTTTACTATTATTTACACTTTTTCTATTCTATCTGTTTTCTTTTTATTTATTATAAAATAAAATAAAAACCTTGCTACGTGTACTGCGTTAAGCTACCTGAGACTTGTTACAGCACGTGCTTATCATTGCTCTTTAGTTTATTCTGATTGCTTCTGTTCTCCTCATTTGTAAGTCGCTTTGGATAAAAGCATCTGCTAAATGACTAAATGTAAATGTACTATAAAAACTAGACATATTTTAAAAACTAATACAAATTATGAATACACAACAACATTACTAAAACTAAAACTGAAATCAAAAATAAAAACTATATACGTGTTCTGCATGTGTGTGTGTGTGTGTGTGTGTGAGTGAGTGTGTGTGTGTGAGTGTGTGAGTGTGTTTGTGTGTGTGAGTGTGTGTGTTTGTGTGTGTGACTGTGTTTGTGTGTGTGACTGTGTGTGTGTGAGTGTGTTTGTGTGTGTGAGTGTGTTTGTGTGTGTGAGTGAGTGTGTTTGTGTGTGTGTGAGTGTGTTTGTGTGTGTGAGTGTTTGTGTGTGTGTGTGTGTGTGTGTGAGTGTGAGTGTACCTACTTAACCATATTTTGGGGTGTGTGTGTGTGTGTGTTCACCTTCTCGTGGATCTCCTGTGTGGACTGTGCGTCACAGAAGGCCACGGTTGCCAGATCTTTGAGGATGGGCATCTCAACCGTACAGTCCCTACCGTCCAGCAGAGAAACCAGAGGACGAGGATGCATCGGGCCGTTCACGATCTGAGGCCTGATACCTGCGCACACACACACACACGCACACACACACACAGAGGAGTACTTCAGTGCTTTGACATGATATATGATTCATCAAGAATATAATGATTGCATAATATAAATTATTTCATGTTTTGATGGCAAATATGAAACATTCAGAGTCTCCTTTTGTTTTTTATTTTTTATTCAACAACCAGTGAGCACACACACACACACTCACACACACTCACACTCGCACTCGCACACTCACACACACACGTGCGCACGCACGCAAAATACAGGAAGTTCAGATTAAGACGAGGGAGAACGAGCCAATCAGAGTCTGAATCCAAAATAGCACAATACTCATGCAGTATACAGATACAGTAGAAACAGTACGAGCGGTATGTTAGTATGCTATTCCAAACACAGCGTTTATCTGTCTGTTTGGAAAACTGTTACTAGCACATTTCTGTGCCACCCTGGGAAAAAAAGCATCTGTCAGGAGCATAAATGTGATTGTTATTACAGCATTTTTCCAGCACATTGTGAATCACATAAATTCTGTTTTGAAACAACATTAAAAACTGTGAACTCTTGAATGAACTATCATAACGAAGCACTATGATCAACAGTTAAACTGTTTTTGCCCTCATAGCAAATGTTTTTCCATTAAAATAAATTTTTATGACCTTACATGAATTCTCTTGACCAAAATCATCACTGAATTTAATTTCACTATAGCACGACAGCTTAGCAGTAAGATAAATGTACACTGTTGCCCAAAACCCAAGACTAAGAAACAATCTTTTAATCTGTCTTTTTTTATTCAATAAATGTCAATAATTCTTATTTTTATGTATTTGTTGTGTTCACCTGACACAAATTAAGAAATGACAGCCATTGGAACATGTTTGCAGTTTGTCAATATTAAATATGATAAATAATAACTGCAGTGAATGAATATGCAAAACATATCAGGGCTGTCTATAATAGTATGAACTAAAGAGGTTTAGTTTATTGCATTATATACACGCATACTATACGCATACTATATTTTAATAATCCGATTATGGTTTATGTCATTCATAATGCTTCATAGGAGTGAATGTACACTTCTGAGCACTTTTGGCACAATTTATGTTTCACAGTGATTGAAGACACATCATCACTTAAACATCGCTCACATACGATTTATACATGATTTATCTACTGTTTGGATTATATAAATGGGATTTTTACTTCCGGAGCCAAGAATGCTGTCTGAGTCTGATGAACAATGAGTCTGTAAATGACTCTAGATGTGAAGGGAACATTAACAGAGCTAAACATGTTCAAACTACAGACGGTTTGATCAGGAACCTGTTGATTCAGGAGTGATCTAGAAACGAGGAAAACAGTGTTTTAAACCCTAAAAGCATTCTGAACATCAAGCGTTTCTGTATCTGCTCAAACACAAGATCTTTCCTTGAATCAGCTGGTGTGTTTGGGGATTTTTAGAGAATGCATGAAGTCAGTTCTGCTCAATTCACACAGAATCACTTGAATTATCAACATGATTCACTCAAGAACAACAAACACACACAATACTGACCGTCTTCATCTTTAACTACATCTACTGATTCAGCATTTCAAACCTACAAAGTCAAATTTTCTGATTATAAAGCGAGTTTGTGCATCTTTATTTACAATAAATGACACTTGATTTGAACTTATATATCTATAATGAATGACGTTCAGACATTGTTAAGTATGACCTGAATACTTTTGGGGTGTCACTGTATAAGAGACTAAAAACTCATGATTAAAAAATAAAAACGAAAACAAAAGAGGGTGACACACAGTCGGTGTGGATATTCAATATTCAATATCCAGGAGCCGTTCCATTTACAACGCATTAATTATTCATGCCGACCTCCATCCAGAGACACAGACACGCTTCATATCCAAACTCAACACTGACGGCATTACAAACATCTAAATCATCATTAAATGCCACTGAACATGTTTATTTAGAAGCATGCAGATGAATGTCTTTGACTGAAAAAACTCAAAATCGGCCTGATCTGACCTGGAAAGCGAGCGATATAAACTCACATCTCACTGAGGAACCTCGTGGGATCTATACTCAAGATTACATAACCACACACACACACACACACACACACACACACACACACATGTTGTGTTTCCATGGTTTATGGGGACATTCCATAGGCGTAATGGTTTTTATACTGTACAAAATGTATGTGCTATTGCCCTACACCAACCCTACCCCTAAACCTACCCCTCACAGGAGACTTTGTGCATTTTTACTTTCTCAAAAAAACTCATTCTGTGTGAGTTATAAGCTTGTTTCCTCATGGGGACCTCAAAAATGTCCTGGTATTTATCACGTTATGGGGACCAAACGTCCCCACAAGGATAGTAATACTAGTAAATGTTGACCTTGTGGGGACATTTGGTCCCCATAACGTGATAAATACCAAGTACACACTCTCACACACACACACACACACACACACACTCTCTCTCTCTCTC